TGATATATTAGTATACTTTTATAAGAAACCAATATAGTTAAAATATACAGTTTTTTTTTTCTAAAGACATAAAAATATTACTCCAATAAAAATATCAACATGGTAACTCTATCATAGATGACAAACTCATTTCAATAATAATAAAAAAAACTGTATACCATAATTTCCAAAAAGGTGAAAATATTTAACCCAAAACCTTAGGTATCTAAGTACACTAATACATCAATATACAACACAAAATACATTCCTTTCCATTAACTACTTTACAAGGTATACTTTGGCTCAGAAACCTAGCTAACAAGGAAAATATAAAGAGGTTTAATACAAATCAAAGAGATATCCAATATCAACTGCTCCACGACTGCTTTTAGTTATTTAACCCAACAAAGACTTCATTGAATCATGTTTCAATCACAAAAAAAAAAATAAAATAACATAACTAATTAATAAGTGAGATTAGATAAAATTTTAAGGATATTACCGGTATTTTGAAAAATATTATTCTAATGAGACAATTAATAAGTGAGATTAGATTAATTAATAGGATAATGTTCATGCTTTTCGCCTAAAAGTAATATTCCCGAAATATTAAAGTCATTGGAGGGAATCAAACCCAAGTTTTTGAGGGGTCATGCACATTATTTTACCAAGTCTGCTACTGTTTCTTTAACAAGTTCTTATAAGAAACATCGTTTATCATATTTGTGCGGTGTTAAGTGACCATACTCCTCTCTATGTGTCTCGAAACCAAACGGGAAGAAATGATTCTAAAGTGGCACTGATGTAATATGGCTGAATGTGAATCTTTACTATGAGGTTTATTGACAAGTGCTTTAGAAATGCTGTAGAAATTTTTCGCAGCCCAAATTATTTCTAAAACATAAAATATTTCCAATTATGTTTTGTAAAGATTTTCTAAAGCCAGATATTTATTTATTTATTTATTTATTTTGGTTGTGAAAAACACTAAACCTAGAACATTACAGCCACATCAAAAAAGATCTACAGTTTAAATCTACAGTAAAATATATAAAGATACATCTCATTCCAATTAACCTATATGATTTTACTTTTTGCTAAAAGTGGGTTTCTTTCTCCTCTTTCTGTAACTCAACGTGTCCCAAAAGGCTGTGTAAAACCTGACTTCTCCAAAAATAATATATATAAAATAACCGAATAATAATAACATAATTCTTTATTACCAAATAATGAAAAGTCAACATCCACGTCGGAAATACATAATACAACCTAACATCCGAAATATAAATATCACATAATCCGAAAGTCTGAAATACGAAACAACATAAGCGGTAAAAGTCCAGAGGCTTATAAGCCCAATAACGATAAAATACGATAAAGTACGATAAGATAAGATAAAAGTCCAAAAGCCCAAATAGCACCGGTCCGTTATAATTATTCCTGCTCATCGGTCTCACATGAAATGGGGGGAAGAAAGGAGGGGTGAGCAACAGGGGAGTCGCTCAGTAAGGTATGGGATGCTACACCTCAAACCACTGACTCAGTACATAGCACTACGACTATGTTGGTCTAGTTCTAGCATGTAACAAACATGGTGCCTATTACACCTCACAGAGCAATCGAAATATGTCTAGTGCACTAGACAACTACAATCAATGCGCTAGTAGCACATCGTTATTCTCTGCACCACACATTTCCTCATAAGGATATATATATATATATATATATATATATATATACTCGTAACGTCGCTAGTACAGTCTGTCTCTGTACTCCCGCCTTTCGTAGCGTCGAATGCAAACGTCTCTGCACCACGCCCCACACAGTAGCGTCGAAGCTCAGACGTCTTTGAACTCACGCCCATACACCGTAGCGTCGAAGCTCAGACAGCTCTGAACTCACGCCCATACACACCGTAGCGTCGAATCTCAGACATCTCTGAACTCACGCCCCACACATAGTCCCTACTCATAACTATGTATATACATATATATAATAGTGGTTAACATCAATCATCTCACATAACCGTTGAATCCTCTATTATCCTATTTCCGGTTTAACAATCAATAATAAAAATAAACACGCAAGACTCGATTCATAGAGACGGAACATGCTTCGAAACTAGATTTTTCATAATAGCAGTACTAAACTAGTTTGGGATTTAAACGGAGTAGCCCTCACCTTAGCAATGAAGAGAACTGGTATCTATGGTCTCCAGGTGCTCAAATAGACTCCAAATCTGAAACCAGGGCGAAAAATCGAGCCAGAACAGCTTTCGAACGGTTAGAAACGGGCTTCAGGCGGATTGGTCAAAAAGTCAACTCACATGTCAAAGTCAACCCTGGTCAAACCTTATCCAAATTGAAATTGAATTAAACCATCCGGTTTTCCTTAACCGAAATCGAATTCAATTGGACCAACCGTTTACGTTAACCAAAACTAAATCAATTTAATTAACCGTTTTGCCCTAACCAAAATCCAGTTGATTTTAACAAACCGGTTTAACCTAACCAAACCGAAATCAATTTACACCGGTCAAACCAACCGTTGACCGAGTCAACCGAGTTGACTCACCGAGTCGACTCAGCCGAGTTGGCCAAGTCACCGGCGAGTCACCGGCGGCGACGGCGGAGGGCAGCGGTGGCTTACCGGAGGAGACGGCGGTCCGGCGGCGGTCCAGCGGTGGTCCGGCGGCAGTCCAGCGGTGGTCTGGCGGCGGATGGTGATTTCCGGTGAAACTTCAGAGGGTGCGTGTGGCTTCGTGTGAGGTCGGATCGCGGCGTTTTTGGTGTCTACGGCTTCGTCTCGACGAGTAGAACACGATGATTACCTTGCATGCACGAGATTCTCAATGATTTAGAAGTTATCAGTGATTTACTAAACGCCCGTGAAGAAGCTTACTCTCAAGGCAGTTTCCGGCTGTTCCTAGTGGTTCTGAACGGGGGTGACGAGCTCAGCTTGGTCATGACGTGTGGTGGCTCAGGAGACGACTTCAGGTGGCTCAGATACAAGAGTTTCCGATTTCTCTCTCTTTCCTTGGTCTATCTCTCTAATTCTACTCTTTCCTTTTCTTGTGCAGGTGGAGAAAACAAAGCTGAAGTTTGGATAGTGGGTATTTATAGGCACACAATATAGTTAGCATGCTAACCAATTTCAAAATCCAAAAATTGGGTCGTTACAGGCTGTTTCTGCATAAATTTTTGTCAATCTTCCAATAATTGTTCCATATAATTTTTTAAGTAAATTATTCTCTCTTTTCTTAACCTTAAACCTCTTTTTTCGTGTTTCTTTTTGTTCTTAGACAATAGCTACTAAGTTCAGCCACTAAGTTCTAATCGTCGTAATTTGTTGGCTCAGCCACTGAGAATCTGCAGTACTCCTGCCAATTACTCGAACACCATGAGTTGAGATCTCCAAGCAAACTGAAACGTGTGGGGATGGAATGGGTTCTCCAAGCAAGCTCTTCGAGCGAGAACGTGACCGTCTCATGTGTCTCTCCCCACTTTTTCGTTCGCGAGACCTCCTACTGTGAATAAATGATGATACCATCAACTTAAGAATGAAACAATCTCTTGAGAAATCAAGCTTGATATACTTTGGATTAGACTCAGATTATGTTCAAATTTAAGTGAATGATTCGAGAGTTAGATGCAATGAATGTACAACGTAAACGTAGACGAGAGTTTGTTATCTAGCACTACACGAAAACATGCGAAATTCGACGATCATATTCGTCAGAATAACACTATTATGACGAAATTCAGACGAAAATAGTCGTCGGAAAAAATAATTCGTCAAAAATTCGTTAGATATTCAGATGAAAATCCGACAAGTACCGACGGATTTATTCCCCGAAAGAAGACCGACAATAATTCACTTCATTGGTAATATGTCAAAAATTAACTCGAAAGAAATCAACATCGGAAAATAATACCGAGGAAAATCGTCCATCGAAAATTTATGACAGATTTATATTCGTCGGAAATTTGTTTCAATTCCAATTTGTTTTCTAACGAATATAAATCCGTCACAATTTCCGACGGATATATATTCATCGGATTTCTGTTATTATCAATTTCAAATATTTTTATAAATTTGTATTTTCAAATAATTTTTTTATAAATTCATAAAAAATGAAATTAAAACAAATATTAAATAAATAAGTTTTACATAATTTATAATTTTAACAACATTTTAAAGTTTTAAAATAAAAGAACCCCTAAAATTCCTGGGGAAATAAACGCTTCATCTTCTCCAATATATCTTGATTGAACTTTTTTTGATCCGCTAATTCAGCAAAAAATGTAGTGCTATGCTTCTCCAACGCTACAATCCGTTCATCCTTGTTCTGCAGCTGCTCCATAATTACGGGATCAGAATACATAACTTGAGAAAAAGGACATGAAGCTGCACGATGAGCCAAACCAACCAAACGCCCTTTCTTCTTTGGAACCGCCTATAAAAAATGAAATAAATTATATATTAGTAAAAATTAAAATAATAGGGAAATGAAAATTAAAAAATTACTTGTTCCACCATTTTGTTTATTCGAAGCTGGGAAAAGTTGGTGGAACTTTCCGTAGAATCTTTATCAGAGATTGGCTGAGAAGCTAGAGATGCTTCATTTTGGGTTTGCACCAACTCTATGACCTCTGTCATGATGGGATCTTGAATTTCACCTGTCATCTTGTTAGTGTACTCTTCCCTCATGATGTTGACATGATCAATGGAATTACCGGCATTTGCTTCAACTTTAAAAAAAAAAAATCAATAAATATATATAAAGTATTATTTTAAAATATATAAAACTTAAATATATAAAAATTACAAGCTGATCCTCCTTAGTAGACATACTGCAACCCCAAAGTTGTGGAAAAATGACCTTTCCCGCCACAATCGCTGTTGCGGTTGGATGAGTTTATAAGGAATTTATCTATAGTCTCATGCTTCTCCCAATGCACCTGCAACTGTTGCCAAACTGTGTCGTTGATATTCTTCGGTGTCTTGCCCTTGAGCCATAGCTACTTCAACTCACAGATCTGTTTCGTATAAGACTCAGCGACCTTCTCGTGAAATCCATGATGAACAGTTGCAGGATGTCCAGACTCCTATGTGAAACGTTGCTGCAAAAAATGAAATAAATTAATAAATATATAATTAAAATTAAAAGAAAAAATTTAGAATGTTACCGCAAAATTACGGAACCACAACTCGCTTTCGTCGTTAGGCATCTGACTGTAGGTGGGATATCCTCTGCGGAGCATGGAATACATCATTTGCTTAATGTAACTGGTAATGCCGTTGTTCGACCGGGTGAACCTTAAAAAAAACAAAAAAATATGTTAAAATAAAATTAAAAAGTAAACAAAAATTATGTAAGAATTCTAAGGTGAAAACTTACCACGTAGTGTATCCTTGTAGAATGGGATGGAGCTCCTGGAGATGCTCTCGCCTTGGTTGTAGAACCAATACCTCAACCGGCATATTACTCGGCACATATTGAGCAGTGGGATCCGGATGTGGAACCTGAGGAGGAGCTGAAGGAGGAACAGACGGGACTGAGTTTTGTTCAGGTGATGATCCCAATGCACGGGAACTACACCTGGTATGTAGCCGGCCTCGAGGTGCAGAACGTCGTAGTGACCTAACAGAATCTTGAGACCTACGATAGAAAATAACAACTGTTAGACGAAAAGTTTAAATATACATTTAATAATAATTATATATTTAAATTTTAATAAAATTTCATAATTCCTAAAACCTAATTTATAAGTTTGTAAAACGTTTTTCATAAGGAAAATTAAAATTTTGTAAAAATATACTTAACATTTAAACAAGGTTTGATATATATGTAAAACTTATGTATATATATGTATATATATGTATATATATGTATATATATGTATATATATATATAATACATTTGTAAAAGTATGTAAAACTTTTTTAAAAATGTGTTACATAGTTTCCAAATTTTTTATAAAATTTATAATATTTTTTGAAAACGGTTTTGTATTTATTAAAACTAATTTCCTTGCGTTTTTATTATATATAAATATTAGTAAAACGGTTTTAAACAATTTTATTATTTATAAATAATATTTAATGTTTTAAAATTAAAGAACGTTTTTAAATTATAAAAACGTTTTATAAAATATAAAAAAATTTATAATTTTTTTTAAAACAACATAAACAAATGTGTAAAACAACATAAATGTAACACATAATCACTTAAAATATCATTGTTATCCTAAAAATTTACTTTCCAAACCTAAAATCTACAAATCTAACATCTAAAACTTAAAATTAACAAATCTAACATCTTAAATTTAAAATCAACAAAGCTAACATCCAAACCTAAATAAATATAGTTTAAAGAAATGATCTAGAAGACTTACATGATTTTAGGAGAGTGGGTTGGGATTTGGAGGGTTAAAAGGGAGACGAATCATCTGCGAGAGAGCTCCAGAGACCGGGGAGAAGAGAGAATTCGTGGAGAGGGAGAGAAAATGAGGCAGAAGAAAAAGAAAGGGATTATGTATTAATAAAAAAAAAAAACAGACGGACCGAAATCCGTTGGAATTCCGTTGGTTAATGTTTTTAGCGGTTCGCGCAAAATTTTTGGCTTTTCACTTTTCTGGGAAGTGAAAATTTCCGACAGTATTCCAACAAAATTATTAAAGCCATCGAAATTCCATCGGAATATTTTGAAACTTGGCAATATCGAATAATGAGGCATATAGAATATTCTATATTCATCAGAATTCCGTCGGAAATTTCCGACGAATTTCCGACGAAATAGCGTTTGGGGTTTAAAATCATCAACTAATTTTCAAATTTATATCTTTCATAGTATATAAACTATTTACAAGTGGCTTAACTAACAAAATTAAGTATTTAACTCAATATTATACGAAGTCAAAATGTAGAATTATATTGCCGTGATATGTTTGTGTAAGTATATAGATGTTGATGTAAGATTTTACGAATATGGTTATATGCATATCGAATGAATTTGTTTTGATGAACAACTCAAAATGATTGTCAACTAATTTCCTTTTATACACTTATATAAGTGTTATTTGGTTATTTTAAGTATTCACATTTTAATATATATATATATATATATATATATTAACTATGCAAATATAAAATCTTTGTCGTCAGAATTCCATCGGAATATTTCGATGAAATTTCGACGAACACCCAATTTTTGTTGGAATATTCCATTGGAATTCCTACGAATATTAAATACCTATCGAAACCCCAAAATTTTTATATTTCTGCGGAATATTCCTATTAAATTCCGACGAATATCTGTTTATATGATATTGAAATTGTAAAATACTCCAAACACTTATAAAAAGACATCAAAATTTTATAAAATAATTAGAATAACTTATAAAGAATACTTATATTATGTGATTATAGATCCTTTCACCTTTACATACGCTCAAAAAGATACATCCATCGGTAATTTACAGAACCACAATGTTCCAAGTCTCTTGCGAGATGAATAGAAGATGTTCCATTACATAAAAAACATTAGAGGAAATATCTTCTCGAGGTTGCACATGTTCACGGGTATGTTATCCTTCAAATTACTGATACATTCTGCGGTGACTGATCTAGTGCACAAATCTCGGAAGAAAACGCTTATCCCTGCATACATATAAAGAAATAATTTCATAAATACATATAAATCATAAGAAATTAATATGACAATCAATTAATAATGTTAAAATATAAAATACCTGCAATTTCTTCATGAACATTTTGTATAGTTTGGAAAATCAAAACGGAATAAGGCATTGCATCATTACATGACAATCATGACACGTCAAGCCAATAATTTTTTCTTCACTTTTATTGACACTTTACGAAAATTTGACGAGTAACCATATGGGAAGGTCACTTTATCTGTAATCCAATCAAAGAACTCTTCCTTTGCACCTGCATCCAACCGGTATATGGGAAAATGAGCCACACCGTTCTCATCAACGTAAAGTTCAGAACAAGCTGAAATATCAACTAAATCGAGTCTTGACCTCAAATTATCCTTTGTTTTACTTTGGATGTTAAGGATTGTGCTCATCAAATTGTCAAAAAAGTTCTTCTCAATATGCATGACATCTGAAGAATGCCGCAACAGATGATCCTTTGGTATGTTAGATCCAAAAAAATACTCTTCTTGTGTTAGTTGTGTAGTTGTCCAACAGCGTCGATTTTAATATTTTCTTGTCCACCAACGTATGCCGTCATTTCTGAACCAAAATCTCTTAACTGTTCCAAAATCTTTCCCACTAATTTCTTCTACTGGACTGTCAAACACATTCTTGTTCTTCGTAAACGAAGTCCTGCTCTTACGGTATGGATGATCGGCTGGTAGAAATCTTCTATGACAGTCAAACCAACTCGTTTTCCTTCCGTGTTTTAGTTGGAAAGCATCTGTGATATCTTGAAAATATGGATATGATAGCCTCCCATGTGTTGTCCATCCAGATCCCATATTCTGGAAAGTCACTTATTGTCCACATATGTACAGCTCGCATCTGAAAGTTTACTTTGCACGAAACATCGTATGTCTCAGCACCATGCGCCCATAGTTTTTGCAACTTATATATAAATGGCTGAAGAACACACCAAGTGATCTCTTAGGATGATCTGGCTCAAGGACGAGAATGGAGAGATACAAAAATTCTCGTCGCATGCACAAATCGGACGACAAGTTGTATGGTGTCACAATCATTGGCCAAAGAGAATATTGTCTTCCATATTTTCCAAATGGTCTGAAACCATCAGTACATAATTCAAGATATGCATTTCTTCTCTCATGGACAAATTCTGGATATGTTGACTGGAAATGTTTCCAAACTTTTGCATCTGACCATCTGTGGAGTGTTCTGCATGCCATCTCATTGGCTGGGATGTACGTTGAGACTGCTATAACCTCTTCAGTCATTCCGTCAAAGGAAAATACCACATCCTTTGGAATGGCACCAAATTTTTTCCCCTTGTTACATGCAAAACTATAACACATATAGAACAATTCATTTATAATTAAACAAGGAAAGGGAGGAGAGTTATCAATACACCCAAATTCTAATGTCATTAATAAATACCAATCAACAGAACATGAGTTGTCTTTAGTAAAACGACGAAAAGATCAAGTTTTTGAAAATAGAGGGCGTAACAAAGACAGATTTTAAAGCTAATGGACGAGTGTTTGTTTGGAAAGAACAAGCGCCAGAAGAACTAGTCAGAATCTTACCTCCATTAGCTACTGTTACAGTTTTTCCAGTGCTGGTATTGAAAACAAACTTAAGATTACCTGCCGTGTTCGAGAAATTTGCTGTCGCACTGGATTCCATGTACCATTGGTTATCTGTCGGATCGATAAGAGTCATTGTGTTGAATGCCAATGCAGAGTCCATCGTTGGTGTCTGATTACCGGTGTTGTTATGTGGGCCTTGCGCAACAGGTTTTGTTGAGGGCGTGATCCTAGAATCTCCGATTGTGGGTGTGGAGACATCAGCATTTGAGTCCAAGGATTGAACTGTTGCAGAGGCCACATCAGATCATCTTGGCGCCAAAAAGGAGCATTCCAGTTGTTATACTGAACTTGTGGATGAAAGTTGTTGTTACGGCTGTTGGATCACTAAAAGCCCAATGGCTTTTAATTAAAATGTGAATATAAATGACATGGGCTTCAAAAGCTGTAAGCCTAAAGAAATGTCAATTAAATGAAATTATGCAATGGGGAAAGTCCTATCTCGGCCAAGAGGAAGGAAAATGAGTAGTATATATGTGTACACTCATATGCCATAGGTTAAATGGCTTGAGGAGAAGAAAGACTCCCCACACGCGCGCCGCCGTCTGGCCGGCTCGGCTCGGGTCGGCGTGGCGTGGGCTTGGGCTTTGGCTTGGGTGGAGGGCCTCCGGCCCGATAAGAATTTATCTTTTTGGACCAAGTTAAGCTCAATGCTTTGCCTATTTTAAATAAAAAACAGCATGATGTTTTTAAATAAAACGACATGAAGTTCGTCTTAAAACAACACGTAATTTTTATTTATTTGCCAAAAAATCAGAACAAGTCAAACAGAAAATCTTGCGAAGAAAGTTTCTCAACTCTCCACTCTCGAGATTTCCGAGAGATCTTCGGAACGTGCTTCCTCAATTGCGGAATTTGATCTCTCGTTTCTTCTTTAAATAACTCGCCTCCTCTTCATTCATTCCAATCGTTTTTTACACAGAAAAAATCTAGCAATCTCTCAGCGTAAATGATTTCAAGAGAGTGTTCGTAGAAGTTTAGTTCGTTAGGTCGTTTCACGAGTGAAGCGTGATTCGTCGCCATGGTTATATCCTAGGACTCGGTATTCGTACAGTTTCGTCTCACTATGGTGTGAATATTCAGAGTTAGGGAAATATATTATATCTCGTCTCCATGTTCTTATTATCGTCTTTCTGAATCATCTATTTCTTTAACTCCGGTTCTATTTTATCGTTTATGTCGATCTGGTTTACCGGCTTCTACAACGGCCTCTTCCTCGACGTCCATTACCTCTGTTAGCTCTGTTTTGAAACTTGCAATGTTGATTGCTCTGCTGTGTAGTCCTCTGCTCCGTGGGAGTTATAGTTGCCTCAAGAACTCTTGGCGGAGAGGAAGATTCCTCTTTATGGGAAGAGACCTTCTAGACTTTATGTATCAGGGATCAACTCATATATATACAGAATATACTAAGGAATAATATCTCAGCTATACAATCGATAGTTATCCTCTAATAGCTTTCGGGTGCAACAAATATATAAATTTATGCCTCTCAGTGGCGTGAAAATACATATCATCTTCCTAGCAAAGGCATAAATCACTGCACTATGTCCGCAACTCATGAAACCAAACCTGTTACCGAGAATATATGATTTTGATAACATGAAAAGAGCCAGAATGACTGAATACCGAATCTCGTAGAAACCTAAACCATTGCATTTATCAGGTGCATTTAAACTAACAACAATACTTACTTGTGTACAGTTCCAATCGCTGTGTACGATAATAAGGTAAAATATAAACGTTCAAAAGTAAAACTTGTTTGGTTGAAAGCTTTTAATTTTGATTATTTGGAATTAAGAGACGACAAAAACATATACATATTTTCAACATCTAAAATATCTATATTATTATTTGAGAAGTAAATTTGTTTAGTTGTCATATTCTCCATACTTTTAGTTAATTTTGCTTATTTATCATGTTTTTATCATTTGACTAATGATTAATTATTATTCTTAGTGAATAATTAGGTTTATTAATATATGATTAACTATACATTAAAAATAATTAATAAATTATTAACAGTAATTAAAAACAAATTTCACCGATTGGATGATTTTCTTTATCTAAAAATAGTTTATATTACTTAACAATAAACTAAAAGTAAATTAGTATATAAATAGTCATTAATTAAAAATGAATTTCATTGATTTGATAATTATCATCGTCTAAAAATAATTTTTATTATGTTATAAAATCTTTATTAACATTAATGAATATAATTACCAATAAATTAGAAACAAATTTCAATGATTTGATAAGCAAAAAATAGTATATGTTGTTTTATTCAAAACAAATTACAATAGTTGTTTTTTCAAAAGTTTAAATTAGAAAAGATAGATACATATATGTATTGTATATAATATTAATGCATATATTAATTTTTTCAAATTTTATGCAGTAAAAGATAATTTTCTTGTATTGATAAATTTTGTCATATGTTCAAACTTAATATATAATTTATTATTAAATATTTCAAAAACATTAGCGTTTTTAAGTTTAAGTTATATGATGAAAAGTATTCATGCTACGATAAAACTTGTATATATAAAGAGTTCATTGTTTAACTTTTACTAAATATTTTGAATGTATGAATATTAATTAATTTAATTTTATTTCAACTGATAATTTATTTACGTTAACATATTTATAAATTATTATGTCCGCACGTGCAGGCACACAACTAGTTCTAACTAGAATTTTAAAAACTTAAGGAAAAGTCACGTTGACCTAGAAAATAGGAAATCCAAAAACATAATAGAAGCAATTTTAAATAGACAACACGGATCCAGGCCTGCATGGATTATAGATCTACTACCAGTCTAAATAACAATGAATTGCTGTTCTCTGTAATCCCAGTAAAGACGCATAATTTCGCCTTCGTGAAGATCTAATGAACGCTTCAAGTTAGTCCAACCATCTCCAAAATGGTATTTATCATGCTCTGTACATCTCAGGATAACAGTGTATTCATTGCCTTCGATATAGTCGAGAATTTTCACTTCCTTTCCGTTCTGCATATTCTTAGTTGTACCCCCATTCATCATGGTTAGTACGGATTCAATTTGTAGTTTCGGTAACTGCACACTGCGTACAAGATCAGTCTTTGTTAGTTGTTTTGATATGATCACAGCAGGATTTGGTGGATCTTCTAGAATCATCTTGATTATCTTGTTGATCATCTTAAACAAATAAAACTGTTATGAAAGTAGAAGAAAAGTATTCGTATTCTCTTTGTTTGTAGGCGCAGACATATATATAATGGTTAACCTAAGAACAATTGATAGTAAGAAAGAACTCTATAAATTAATAATATTGATACTTCATAATTTTATTAATTTGTAGAGATATTAATTGACGAATATTTTTGTTTCGTTTTTTTTTTTAATTTTATGATTTATTTGTCCTAGGATAGGAAAAATATTTGATTTTAGTGTATAAAAATTAATAATTATTATTTTTATTTGAAATTTTGACATTTATATTAACTATATTATATTATATTACTAAAACTCATCAAAATATATTTTCTTATAATTTTTTTAATTTGTGTCAAATTTTAACCAGCCCAAATTGAAACCGATAAAAAATATTATTAAATAGAGATTATTAATTTATTGAGGTTCATTCTACTGTAATCCGGTTGAGAAATCTAGAATTGTTCATCTCTATTATGTTTTCTGTTATTCCCAAAGTTGAAATGAATGAAAAAAAGACATTCTAGCTTTGGAAGGAAGTCATGACTTGAAAAGTGGAGTTTCCATAAAAGCAAAGGAAGAATAGAGGAAATACAAAACCAGCAGCATTAGAGAAAGTTTGATTTTGATATTTTATTAGTTTCTGAGGGCCGTTCTTGATCCCCATGCTGGTAAACCATCTGCTTGGGGCTAATATATTTATGAACAATTTAGGGGCTAATTTGACAAGAATCATTGTTTGTTTGGTGGTTTAGTATGCTGATTCATTGGTCAAAGTCATGTGTTTAAAGCAGCATAATACCATATTTGGGGCCAAGATTTTTTCCTTGCTTCTTATATTTTAAAAGTTGGTACAATTCTGTCTTGTTGTAAAAAAAAAAAAATTCTAACTTTATTTTATCCATGTCTCCTAATGCTGTCAACCACAATGATGCAGTGCAGCACCAGTTTCAGACCACATCTGTTGAATAGACCAGCGGGGTGAGAGAAGGCTAGAGCCAAGGGAAAAGAGTTCACGCTTTACAATCATTTTAAAGGTCTGGTATTTATCTAGTGAGCAGGGACGGTCCTGAGATTTTGGGAGAGGGTGTATGTGGCGATTTCTATGTAAAAATATATTTTAGAGGTCTAAAACATTTTTTTGTAGACTTATATTCATGTAACTTTCTTTAAAATTTTTGGGGATCTAAGACGAATGTTTCATTTAGTATGCCCCAGGACCGGCCCTGCCAATGAGACGCGCAAGCGTGTCGACGAGTAGTTAATATACGATCGGTTGGTTATGGTTTATATGCTCAAATTTGTTTACAAGAAATTCCAGAATTATAAAACCCATTTCTCTCTTTTTGCTTTGAAAATAATGAAAAAAAGAAAACAATATCGAAACACAATAATGTTAACTATACAGATCATTCTTTGTCAAGAAACCTAGAGATGTATAAAGGAGTTTCTTGTATTCATTAGGTCATGAGACCAAAGATATATATACATAGGAGATGACCTAGTATCTACGATAGAAAAGGAATATTAACATAATAGATTACAACCAAAGATATGGCAATATATTCAGCTATATCCTAAATACCCCCCCCCCCCTCAAGTTGGAGAGTGAAGATCAAGAACTCCCAACTTGGGAAGAAAAACGTCAAACTCCTTGCGTCCGAGAGGCTTTGTGAAGATGTCTGCAAGTTGAGAATGTGTAGAAACATGTTTGGTTGCAGTTACGCCTTTGACGATCTCATCACGAATAAAATGGCAATCATTCTCAACGTGTTTCGTACGTTCATGAAACACCGGGTTTGCTGCTAAGTAAATTTCCGATTTGCTATCACAGTGCAGAGGAATAGGTGATGAAAAGAAAATACCAAAAGTACGAAGAAGGTTGCGAATCCATAGAATTTCCTGAACAGTGTATGACATAGCCCGATATTCAGCCTCACAACTTGAGCGTGATACGCAATCTTGCTTCTATGTTTTCCAAGAAATAGGAGAACCGCCGAGAGTAATAAACCAGCAGGTAAGGGAACGGCGTGTAGTAGGGCAGCCGGACCAGTCAGATTCACACCAAGCTTCTAAAGTAAGATCAGTATGTGCACGAAGTAAAATCCCTTGCCCTGGATTTCCTTTTAGATAGCACACAACCATAAAGGCAGCATCCCAGTGAGCGACTTTCGGTTTCTGCATAAACTGCGCAAGAAGATGTACAGAGTATGCAAGATCAGGTCGAGTAACAGCCAAGTATATCAGGCGACCAACAAGTCGTCGATAAGCAGCAACGTCTACGAGATCGGATCCTTTGTCCAAAGCTAAGCCATGATTCTGTTCAACCGGAAATGCCACAGGTTTTGCAGCCAGAAGACCGGTTTCTTCAATAATTCCCAAAGCGTACTTCCGCTGAGAGAGATAAATGCCAAGGGGACTACGGGAGAGTTCCAAACCGAGAAAATATTTTGAAACTCCTAGGTCTTTCATATGAAAACATTTCTTCATATATGTCTTGAAAGATTTCAAGCGACTGAGTGTGCTAGCAGAAACAACCAAATCATCAACATAAACTAGCACTTGAATAAAGTCAGTGCCGCGATCCAGAATAAATAAGGAGTAATCTGATAAAGACTGAGTGAAGCCATAAGATATCAACGAAGAAGAAAGCTTTTCAAACCAGCAACGGGGAGCCTGCTTCAAACCATAAAGGGACTTTTTCAAAAGACAGACCTTGTTTTTATCTGAACCACGAAAACCAGGAGGCGGACGCATGTAAACTTCTTCTTTCAAATCACCATGGAGAAAAACATTATGCACATTTATTTGATGAACTTCCCAGTTTCGAGACGATGCAATTTGTAGAAACGTACGCACTGTCGTCATCTTTGCAACAGGTGCAAATGTTTCTTCATAGTCATCACCTTCTACTTGAATATTCCCACAAACAACCAGCCTTGATTTTCGACGTTCTAAAGTACCATCTGCGCGGAATTTGTATTTAAAAACCCATTTGCAGCATAGAGCATGTTTCCCAAGAGGTAAATCAACGACGTTCCAAGTACAATTTTCTTCAAGGGCTACATATTCATCTTGAATTGAATCACGCCAACGTTCATCTAAAATAGCTTGGCGATAGGACGTGGGTTCTATCAAGGATGAGATAGCAGCCAAAAAATGTCGATGGCTCTCCGAGAATCTTGAGCAATCAACATAATACTCAAGTGCAAATGGAGCAGTAGAGGAACACTGGACAACTGGTGCAATTGTCTGAAGAACATAATCTTGTAGTTTAGCAGGTATATTCTTGGTACGCAGACCCCGTCCAAGTTCTTGAGGAGGAGAATCCTCAAGCGGAAGCGCCGGAGAAATTGGTTGCTCTGTGTCTGGTAAGGGTAAGGAAGCCTCTTGCTCAATAAGTGGTTCGACAGGAGAAGTAATGGCAGAGGTTTCCGGAGGTAACGAAGTAGATAGATCGACTGCAGTTTCATTGTCGGAGACAGAAGTAATATCATCCAAGACAGGCGAAGGAGAAACAGAGTCTGGCAGAGGTGTAGAGGGTGAAACAGATACTGTCGGAGTTAAGGTATCTTTTGAGACTGGCGCAGGTTCTGTAATGACCGCAGGAGTAGTCGAGACAGGTGAAATATCAGTCGCATAAGGGAATTCAGATTCACAGAACACCACATCGCGACTAGAAAAGATTTTTCCTGTAGTCAGATTGTAGATACGCCAACCCTTTTTCCCAGAAGGATAGCCAAGAAAAACCCCTTTAATACTTCTGGATTCAAATTTGTCACCCTTGTGATGTTGATTATGGGCGTAGCATAAACACCCAAAGGTGTGAAGGTGAGTAAGAGGAGGTGGCCGACCATAGAGTTTTTCAAAAGGTGTCTGTCCGTTTAGTAGAGGTGTTGGAGTGCGGTTGATTAAATAGGCAGCGGTCAAAATGCACTCTCCCCAGAAATCAATCGGAAGTGATGCCTGAAACCGCAAGGCTCGAGCCACGTTCAGTATGTGTCGATGCTTGCGTTCAACGCGGCCATTCTGTTGAGGGGTTCCAACACACGATGTCTCATGTATAATGCCTTTTTCTCGAAAATATGAAGTCATGCACATGAACTCAGTTCCATTATCGCTGCGAATTTTCTGAACTGAAGTGTTAAACTGACATTTTACCATGGAAAGAAAGTTTCGTATTGTCTGAGCGACGTCAGTTTTGCTCGATAATAAATAGAGCCAGACACTTCGAGAAAAATCATCAATGATAGTAAGGGAAAAGCGAGCTCCACAGCGAGAAGTTGTTCGATATGGTCCCCATAAGTCACAATGCACCATTTCAAATAAAGCCATACTTTTATTAGAACTGATAGGAAAAGAACAACGTGTTTGCTTGGCGCGTATACAAATCTCACACGCCTTATTTCTTGAAACATCATCACTAGAAACTGAAATAGGTAAAAAATCCAAAACTCGAGAAGAGGGATGTCCTAAACGATGGTGCCACACATCAGATGTCACAGACTTGTCTTGGTGAATGGCGCCCGGGAATTCCATCCCTCGCAAAAAATATAGCCCATGCAACTGCTCAGCCACTCCAATCAGCGTCTTGGTAATGCGGTCCTGAATAAGTCCAAGTTTATCAGTAATCTGAAAAAGACATGCTTTCTGACGGGCTAACTGTGAAACAGAGATCAGATGACACTCAAAACCATCAACAAATAACACATTCTGAATAGTAAGTAGAGAACTAAAAACCACTGTTCCCTGTCGAGTGGCAAGTGTAATACGTCCATTGGGTAGTTTAACGGGTAATGAGACAGTGTCTCGTATATCAGAAAGTGATGCAAGTGAACCAGTCATGTGATTCGTAGCACCTGAATCAATAATCCAAGAAAATTTAGAAGACGTACCGCTCAAAGTGTTAACTGGTGCCTTACGCTCATTCAACATGGTGACCAACGTGTGCCATTGATCATCGCTCAAACCGGTAAGTCCAACAC